CGGCTGACACCGCCGAGGAGGTGAAGGAGGCCCGGGAGGCGGCTCGCGACGCGGAAGAAGCTGTGGAGGTGAGGCATATCTTGGAGTGAGCTTTGGCTCGAGGACATGATTGAAGCTTTGGAGGCATGGCGTGCCCATGGGACGTGGGCAAGGATGCGGGTCTCGCATGGGCGGCATTTAGGCCCGGATCTTGTTCTGTTCCCGTTGAGAATTGGGTCTACCTGCACTGCGTTTCGTACGTCGCTCTATCGTCGTCTTCAGGTTTGCTCTAACAACGTAAACCATGTGTCGTCTGTGGATGATTTGGGTTTAATGCGCTGTGACTAGCATGTGCCTCGGACCGGGCTGCGTCTCTGCGCGCCGGAAGCTTAACCCACCTGAAGGCAGAGGCAGGGACTGGCGGCGAGGATGGCTGATGGTCCTAGGTTGCAGGTTGAAGGACGGCACCAGTTCTGGCTCTTGGATGTACGTTCATCGACAATATTGGTCAATCTTTCACGTGTTATGTCTCACTCTGCCCTGCCTCTTTCCGCGGCTGCCGCCGCACTTTGGCATTGCTGCAGGCTGCCGCTAAGGCTGCAGAGGAGGCAGCGGAGGCGGCTGAAGAAGCGAGGGAGGCGGCTGAGGAAGCACAGGAGGATGCGGAGGAGGCAAAGGAGGATGCGGAGGAGGCAAAGGAGGCAGCCGAGGAGGCACAGGAAGCGGCGGAGGCAGCTGCCGATGCGGCCGAGGAGGCAAAGGCTGAGGAGGAGGCAGAGAAGGCGATCCTCGAGGATGCGGGTGAGGTGGCAGAGGAAGCCGCAGATGACGCAAAGGAGGCGGCCGAGGAGGCGGCGGACCAGGCCGCCGAGGCGGCGGAGGGTGCTGAGGACGCTGCTGAGGCGGCGGAGGCTGCAGACGAGGCTGGCGATGCGGCATCCGAGGCGGCGGACGAGGCTGATGAGGCCGCTGATGCTGCAAAGCGGGCAGCTAAGGCAGCTGAGGAGGCCGATGGGGCTTCAGAAGCTGCCGAAGCGGCGGAAGAAGCGGCAGAAGCAGCCGAGGACGCTCAGGATGCTGCAGAGGAAGCAGCAGACGCGGCAGAGGAAGCGGCAGAGGCCGCGGAGGAGGCGGCAGAGGCTGCGGAAGAGGCGGCCGAAGATGCCGAGGAGGCTGAGGAGGCGCTGGAGGAAGCCCAGAAGGCGTTGGCGGCTGCCAGGGCCGCGTTGGAGGCGGCTGACACCGCCGAGGAGGTGAAGGAGGCCCGGGAGGCGGCTCGCGACGCGGAAGAAGCTGTGGAGGTGAGGCATATCTTGGAGTGAGCTTTGGCTCGAGGACATGATTGAAGCTTTGGAGGCATGGCGTGCCCATGGGACGTGGGCAAGGATGCGGGTCTCGCATGGGCGGCATTTAGGCCCGGATCTTGTTCTGTTCCCGTTGAGAATTGGGTCTACCTGCACTGCGTTTCGTACGTCGCTCTATCGTCGTCTTCAGGTTTGCTCTAACAACGTAAACCATGTGTCGTCTGTGGATGATTTGGGTTTAATGCGCTGTGACTAGCATGTGCCTCGGACCGGGCTGCGTCTCTGCGCGCCGGAAGCTTAACCCACCTGAAGGCAGAGGCAGGGACTGGCGGCGAGGATGGCTGATGGTCCTAGGTTGCAGGTTGAAGGACGGCACCAGTTCTGGCTCTTGGATGTACGTTCATCGACAATATTGGTCAATCTTTCACGTGTTATGTCTCACTCTGCCCTGCCTCTTTCCGCGGCTGCCGCCGCCTTTGGCATTGCTGCAGGCTGCCGCTAAGGCTGCAGAGGAGGCAGCGGAGGCGGCTGAAGAAGCGAGGGAGGCGGCTGAGGAAGCACAGGAGATGC